CCTGCTCCCAAACCATTCCATATCCATTGGAGTCCCAGGGGATGGATGAGGGAAATGGTGGGGAAGCGGTGAGGACAAAGTGTTATTGATTGTCAGCCTTGAAGGGTCTTGATGTTCATATTTATTCAGACTGCATTAGAAGGTGATGGGGATCACTATCAACTGGAGACTGGTGAAATCAATCAATAAACAAAAGAAAACAGGAGAAAACAATTCTTGCTTCATTGCTTTGAATATAGTACATTCACTTTGAAAAAAAATCTGAAATCTGTCTAATTAACCACAGATCCAAATAATCTCCATCTTTATCCTGTCCAAACACCCACAATAGGGGTAAAAATAAATAAATTAAACCAAACATCTAAAGCCTCATAATTTTCCAGGATTTGGTTGTGAATGTGGGCTTGGTTCAGAGAAACATGCAGGAGGACTTGGATTTTGTGAGGCCACCCAGGCCAGGCATAGTGAGTCCACGATCTTGTAGTTGTGCCAGCAGAACATGTCCACCTGAGCCTGTCTGCTCTCAAGGAATTCTGGTTGTCTGTCCCAGACAGACAATTTCCCCTGAAGCGCCAGCCCTGCTCCCGGCTGTGGATGTTCCTGTCCACCAACCTCTCCTGCTTGTGGCTGCCCCAGCTTTGGGATGGGCCCTGGGCCTGGAGCAGGAGCAGCTCTTGAGGGCCCCAAGGCCGGGGCTCTTGTGCTGCCCTGGGCACATGGGATGGCAGCAGGGGCTGCAGAGCTCTCAGCACCTCAGCCAGAGGGGAGCAGGGCAGCCAGGGAGCCTCCTTTGGCCTTGGCCCAGCACCTTCCCCATGGCTGGGGCTGAGTCCTGTGGGAGCTGCAGCTGCTGCTGTGCCCTTGCCAGGGGCTGAGGCCGTGGGGCCATGGCCAGAGCAGCCTGGCCTGAGCAGAGCTGTGGGGCCAGAGCCGGCTGGGCTGGGCTGGGGAGAGGCCCTTGGTGCTGCCCAGAGCTCAGGGCAGCTGGCAGAGCTTGCAGGGAGCTGGGCTGGGCTCAGAGAGCCTGCCACAGAAACCATCCGTGTCCATGTCAGCCTGGCTGAGCGGGCAGGGGCAGGACTCAGCCCAGGCCTTGTGGGGCAGGGCCAGCGCCTGTGCAAGGCATTGGAAACAGGCAAGTGCCCCAGAGAGGAGGCTGCTCTGTGCCCTTGGGGGCATGGAGAGAGCAGGGAGGGGGCCCAGGACATTTGTCATGGCCAGCCTCTGTCCCCAGCCCTTGGCAGCCCTGCCTGCTGAGGCCAGCTTTGCCCTGGGCTGAGTTTGGCTGTGGCCCAGCTCCATCCTCCTGCGGGGCTCAGGGCCTGTTCCCGGCCATGGCCAGCCCTGGCCGGCCTCTCTGCTGGCCCAGAGGCCGGCAGAGCCCGGGGCAGGGCTGTCTGTGCAGGCCCACAGGTGCCAGGGGCTCTGCAGGAGCTGGCAGAGGCTGCCCAGCAGGGAGGCCATGGGGCACAGAGCCCCAAGGCTGCCGTGGGCACCACGGCACAGGGGCCGTTCCCAGCCGCAATGCTCCTGGCCTGGGCTGGCCCTGCACAGGGGCTGGGCCACCATGGCTGGGCCAGCACAGGGCCACCAAGGGGCCACGCAGCCGCTGCCGGGGCTGGCAGCAAGGCCAGGCACACACAAGCAATTGCTGAGCATGGCCTGCGCTGGCCAGGGCTGACTGTGCCACAAGCAGAGCTCAGCTGCCCTTGGGGGCTGCAGGAACACTCAGGAGCCCAAGGAGCCTCCATGGCTGTGCTGGAGACCAAGGCTGCAGGAGGGAAATGCAGGGCTGCTGTGGGGATTTCATTTCAGCAGACACATCAGCTTGCAAGGTGCTCTGCTCTCCCTCAGCTCCTCTCCAAGAGATGCCAATCCCAGCTGGGCACCTCAGGGCACTGGGGCCCTACAAGTGGCACAGCCTGTTCATGGGCAGACAGCTGATGTCTGTCTGGAAAGGGCCACAGGTTTTAATATTTGTACATTTCATAATATACAAGCACATCTTCATCAACCAGGTCATTGGAGTATTTTAAGAAACGGCAAAGTTTTCCCACCAGGAACAGAAATTTCCTGGATCTACTAAATTCTTCTACTGATGGCAGGAGAAGAAATACTCATCTTCCCCTCTACTTTAGTCACCAATATCCTGTCTATTTCATCTCCTTTTTCCTTCAGGTGTTTCCATCTCTCCTGTTTAAATGGACATGTCTAAGGACATCTCTCCACTAGACCAGCTGCATCTATGTACTTCCCATTTCTCCCAGATTTCCTCCTCCAGATGCTCTCTGGTCATTCAAAGGCCTCTCAATTGACTGGTTTCATGCTTTGAGCTTCAGCGAGTTGCCCAATCTTTAAGACGTTTAAATCAATATCACATTAGTCAAAATTTTATTTGTGTTTCTATCTATCCTAGAATCAACTTTTCTCGTGTCTTTGCCTAAAACTGTAAGCATCCATATCCGTGAGACTTTCTTGTCAAACTTTCATCCATCCCAAAACTAGATGCTGTTTTTTGCCCCTTTCCCAACCCTTTTCACACAATCCCCCCCAATCCCCAGCCCCTGCTCACTCAGTTTTAGGATGCCATCCTTCCTTTTCCCCACATTTCTAACCTCTCCCACCCCTTTGCTGTCGTCCATCAGTCCCCAGCCCCCTTCCCATTCTTGCTTTGGGGGGGGTCCCACTCCCCCTACCCCTCCAATTCATTTTGTGGGTCCCACCCACCCTACCTCTTCCACCCTACCCTGGCTCCTCTTCCCACCCCCTCTACTCACCTGACAGCTCTGCACCCACGGTTGGGGCAGCTCCAAGCACCACCAGTGCCACCAGTACACCCCAGCTGCCCCCAGACGCCCCATCCCCAGCAGTGGGCAGGTGCTGAAACCTCCCCCCTTCCTAAATTCAGCTCCCAGGTGGGGTCCAGGTGGGGAGTGCTGGGCACTGTGGGTCTGCCGGGTATCAGTGAGAAAAGCTCTGCTTGTCTGAAATTTGTTTAGTGACTTTTCTGTCTGGCTGAGGAAAGTCCCAGGCATTGAGACAGGGAGAGATCCTGCCCCGACCACCAGCACAGGAAAAACACTCAGCCTGGGGACTGCATTTATTACCAACAAAATCAGAGCAGGTGAATAAGGAGTGAAAGAAATCTCTCCAACAGCTTCCCCCCACCCAGTGGGGATCATCTGGAATGTGGGTCACCAGGTCTCTGCCCTATGTGGGTCACTGGGGATCATCCAACATGGATCCTCCAGTGGGGGATGAAGTTGGAGCAGTGGAAGATCTTCTCACTATTGGGGCATTCGAAGAGCTTCCCTTATTGGTGGCTCTGTTGGTGTCTGGTCAAGTTAGAGCTCTGTGAGAAGCTCTTCCCGCACTGCCCACACTCGTAGGGCCTCTCCCCGGTGTGAATGCGCCGGTGCCTGGCGAGGTTGGAGTTGTGGGTGAAGCCCTTGCCGCAGTCGGGGCAACGGAAGGGCCTCACCCCAGTGTGGATCATCCGGTGGGAGGTCAGGTTGAAGCTCTGTCTGAAGCTCATCCCACATTCCTCACACGTGTAGGGCTTCTCCCCGGTGTGGATGTGCTGGTGCCTGATGAGGTGGCAGTTTTGATTGAAGCCCTTCCCGCAGTCAGGGCAGCTGTAGGGTCGCTCCCCTGTGTGTGTCCGCTGATGCATGAGGAGATTGGAGCTGCTTTGAAACCTCTTCCCACAGTCAGGGCAAGCATAGGTCCTCTCCATGGTGTGGAGCCTCTGGTGCTCGACTAGCAGTGAGCTCTGGCTGAAGCTCTTCCCACATTCCCCACACTCACAGGGCTGTTCCCCGCTGTGCAGCCGCTGGTGCTTGATGAGGCTGGAGCTCCACCTGAAGCTCTTCCCACATTCCAGGCACTTGTATGGCCTCTCCCCAGTGGGCACACAATGGTGGGTGAAGAGATTGGAAGTGTGGCTGTAGCTCTTCCCACACTCCAAGCACTTGTAGGGCCGCTCCCTGCTGTGAAGCTGCTGATGGACTACCAGGTTGGAGATCCAGCTGAAGCTCCTGCTGCCGCCCAGGCCCAGGGTGGGTCTTTCCTCCTCAAAGCCCTGTGATGTGTGTTTGCAGCCCCTCCTCGTGCAGGATCTCTGGGGCTCTTCCTCCCCACTGGATTCCTGTGCTGTGGAGCCGCTCAAAACAGCCTCTTCCACGAGGTTCTGCTGTGGGGATTTGTCCTCCCTGGCCTCCATCCTCAGCTCCTGGTCTGGGAGAGGAAGGACAAGGAAAGGATGGGGATTTGCCTCCGTGCCACTGGGAAGGGGAAAGAGATCCCCTCAATGTGGCAGCAGCTCTCTGGCCACAGAGAGCAACACATAACTTTCCCAGGCCTTTCTGGGGAAGGCTGTGAGAAGATCAGAGAAAAGGATGAGAAACAATTCTTATCTTAGCTTGCTGCACCTGTCATTGTGAGCGTGTGGAATGTCTTATGGAGATTTGTTTACCAAAGGATGGTTTCATAATTAGCCAATGATGATGTGTTTGAATTGGAGGACCAGTTAGGTCCAGATGTAACATAACTGTCTTCAAAAGCAATGGGTTTCTTAAAAATGAGGTATATAATAAAGAGATTGATCAGCCTGCTGTGAATCATGGAGTCAATACTAATTATTACTGGGCTGGGGGCCTGGTGCGGCGATCCCCCCAGTGCATCCCTGGCAGGATAGCATTGGCAGCAGGGTTGTCCTGCAGCTGGGGGCCATGCTGGGCTGGGAGAGGGAGCAGGAGAGAGGGGGAAAGGGGCAGTCACTGCCCCCTCTTTAGTCTCCCTACTTAGGTATACTCTGGGGTTTTTGGGGTCCCAGGGTCCCTTCTCTCCTTATTCTCTGCTTTGGGGTGCAGGGGTCCAAGGAGTCCCACACTGTCCCTCTCCAAGCTCTTGAGGGTCTTGCAAATCGCAGCAGTCCCCTCTCTCTGGGCTCCCCACTGTGGGGTGCTGGAGGACACAGGGGTCTGCTTCTCCAGGCTGCCTCTGTCAGCAGATGCCACCAGGAACCCCCAGTGTCCCCCCATGGGGCACTTTCCAAACAGCTTTGCAGTTCTTAATTCCCAAATGTTTCCCCCCAAAAAAAACCAAACCCAAGATTCCCCCAGGATATCTGGGCCAAGCTCCACCTTCCTGATTACCTGTGGAACTGGGGACAGGAGATCCGGGAGGGGGAAAGGCAGAGGGGGCTGGGGGATCCCAGGAGTGGCTTTACTGGCAGGGACTATGCTGCACTGGGGTAACTGGTAACTTACTGGGACAACTGGGAGTGACTGGGAATAACTACAAGCATGCAGAGGACAACTGGTATATACTGGGACTGTCTGTGACCATACAGGAGTGACTGGAACCCCACTGGGAACAGCTGGGACCATGCAGGGGAGAACTGGAACCACCCTGGGGACAACTGGGAGTGAATGGGAGTGACTGGGTCTTCACTGAGGGTAACTGGACATGACTTGGGACCATGCTGGGAGGGACTGAGATCATACGGGGAGTGACTGGGACTATACTAGGAGCAATTGGGTGCAACTGGGATCAGGAGCAACTGGAACCATCATGGGGGCAACTGGAATCATACTGGGATCACAGTGGGAGCAGCTGGTCATGATTAGGGACACTGGTTCCATACTGGCAGCAACTGGGACTGCACTGAGGGTGACTGGGAGTGGCTGTGAGCAACTGGGATCAGGCTGGAAGCAACTGAAGACAAATGGGAGTGACTGTGAACATGCTGGCAGCAACTGGGATATACTGGGAGGGACTGAAACCATACTGGGAGTAAATGGGAGCAATTGGAACCACACTGGATGATTATGGGAGCAGCTCTGCCCAAGCCAGGGATCCTGCTGGAACTGGCTGGGATCATACTGGGAGTGACTGGAATTGTACTGGGAGTATCTGAGAGTGACTGGGATTGTAGCAGGAGTGACTGGGATCATCCTGGAAGTGACTGGAACTATACTGGGAGTGACTATGGGTCCCACTGGGACCACTCTGGGAGCCACTGGGATTACAATGGGCGTGAATGGAACCTGACTGGGGGTTACTGGGAGCTACTGGGTCCATTTTGGGAGGAAATTGTGCACACACTGGGAGCAACTGGGATCAACTGGAAGGTGCTGGAACCATGCTGAGGCAACTGAGACCACAACTGGGATCATACTGGAAGCAACTGGGACCACACTTTGGGCAACAGACAAAAACTGGGATCACACTGGAGGAAACTGGGAGTAACTGGGAATGACTGGGATCATTCTGAGGTAGCTAGAACCTTACTGAGGCAACTGGGATATACTGGGAGTGTCTGTAACCATACTGGGGGGACCGAAATCACACCAGGAACAGTTGGGATCATGCTGGGGGCAACTGGGAGTGAGTGGGACTGTGCAGAGAGGGACTAGGACTATTCTAGGGACAAGTGGGATCATATGGGAAGAACTAGAATTATTCAGGCAGCAACTGGGACCATACTGAGATCACACTGAGGATGACTGGAATCATACTGGGATTGACAAGGATTGGCTGTGAGCAACTGAAAGGAACTGGGAGGAAGTGGGAGTGACTGGGAGCATGCTGGGGGTGACTGGGATATACTGGGAGAGACAGGGAGTCACTGTGATCATACTGGAGGCTACTGGGGTCATGCTGGCATTGACAGGGAACTGGGATCACACTGGGGGCCACTGGCATCATACTGGGAGTGACTGGGTGTCCTGGGGTGACTTTGTGATGCTGAATTGTATCCCCATTCGTCTGTTTAGCCCAGAAATGAGTTGTGCACCTTTAAGACTGGTTCTGAGCACGAAGGGTGGGGAGAAGAAGAAGTGTGCACTTTTCAGACACTGCACTCACTCCGCCACATTCTGTGTGTTGTCTGCGAACACACAGACAGCAGGACAGAGCTCTCCTTTGCTTTTAGTTAGTTTTTAGCTAGCTGAGGCACAGAAGTTCCCCAGATTGTGGTTTCTCTTTTTCTTGGAACTGTTCAAACCTGCTCTGGACTCAACACCCAGAAGAGCACCGGCAGTTTCCAACACCAGAGGGACTGATAAAGGAGGGACTGAGTAAGCCAAGCTTACAGCCCACAAAGGGAACTTTTGGAGTTTGTCATCTCTTTTGGAGCGGCAAGAGGCTTTATTGTTTAATATTGTTTTGGTTTTTGTGCTGGTGAAGGCTTTGCCTGTTAAATAAACAGGTTTTTTCCACTTTTCTGCATTTTTTCCACTTTTCTGCAAGGAAATATTTTCCCAAACCAGTTTGGGGAAATCTGCTTCTAAAGGAACTTGAATCTGCTTTCTGGAGAAACCCCTTTAGAGGTTTTCTCCAAAATTTGCCCTAAACCAGGATACTGGGATTAGACTGCAAGTGACTGGGATTATATTGGGAGGGATTGGGATCATGCTGTGAGTGGCTACAATCATACTGGGATTATGGCAGGTGTCCATGTACCCTGATTAGGGTTTACTGGGAGCTACCAGGCCCATGCTGGGAGCCAACTGCACACACACTGGGAGGAACTGGGAGCAACTGGCAATTATAGGGTACATGCTGGTGACAACTTGGATATACTGAGGGTGATTGGGATAATCCTGGGGGCAACTGAACCATGCTGAGGTAACTGGGAGTGCCTGGCAATTAGTACAAGAATGTTCAGGGCAACTGGGATATACTGGGAGTATCTGAGACCACGTGGGTGGTGACTGGGACCAGACTGGGAGCGACTAGTAAGGTGCTGGGGGGAACTGGGACCATGATGGGGGCAACTGGGGGCAAGTGTGACTGAGGACCTGCTGGGAAAGACAGAGATCATACTGGGAGTGACTGGGACTATATTACCAGCAACTGGGAGAACTGGGAACACGCTGTGTGAAAGCTGGGAAAGACAGAGATCATACTGGGAGTGACTGGGACTATATTACCAGCAACTGGGAGAACTGGGAACACACTGTGTGAAAGTAGGAGGAAATGGGGGCAGCTGGGACCATGCTGGGGACAAAATGCATCATAATAGGGAATGACTGGGAGGGACTGGGCTCATACTGGGAGCAACACCCCGCTCCCCAACCCCCACCGCCCAGCCCCCACCCCGGGGGGCCCCCCATCCCCCCGCCCCCCGCCGGGGCTCTGCCGCCACCCACACCGGGACCCCCCAAAAACACCTCCCGGGGACCCCAGATGTCCCCTCGAGGGGCATCTGCCGCTCATCTTTGGAGCCCTGCAAGGTCCAAACATCCCCCCACCTCCAAAACCCGCAAACCCAGGGACCCCCGGGATATTTGGGCTGAGCTCCCCCTTCCCGGGCACCTGCGGGCTGGGGGGCGATGGTCCCGGTGGAGCTGCGAGTTCGGGTAGCGCCGGAATGGCGCGATTCATCCAAGCATCCTCCTGCTTCCTGCAGCCGCTCCGCCTCTTCCTCCCTCCCTCCTCCTCCTCCTCCTCCTCCTGCCCCGTTCCCGCAGCCCTCGCAGCATGTTCCTCCGCTTCCAAGTCCTGCTCTATCCCAGCTCTTCCTCCCACTCCTCCTCCTCTCTCTGTTCCTCCTCCGCGCCTCCTCCTGCTCCTTCTCTTATTCCCTCCAGCCCTTGTCCCGCTGCTGCTCCATCACCGCTCCGCCGCTCCCTTCCTCCTGCCCCGTTCCCGCAGCCCGCGGCAGGAGCGGGGCTGGAGCCGGGACAGCTCGGCATGGGCAGCGCGGGGCTCTCGGCTGCTCCCACCCGCTGGGGGCGGGGGGAACCCAATCTGGGCAAAAGGAGAGGGAAACTGGGAAAAGTGGGGGCTGCAGATCCACTCTGGGGACCCTGGGTGGGAAATTCCATCCTTTGGGCTGATGCTTGAAAGATAGGCTGGAAATAAATCCCCACAGACCCACATCTGTAGAGCAGGCATTTGTTGATTGCAGCGCTGGTGGTGAGGGGATTTCTGCACCTAAACTCGCCCACCTTTGCCACGTGCTGTGGTGTATTTATACAGTGTTAAGGATATAGTTAGTAATTCGTGCAGATAAAATTATATAAAATACATAAACCAAACCAACTGTACATAGGGAAGGGGGAGGAGGGGGGAGACCCGGACGAAGGCTTTGTGCAGCCCGGACCGAAGAAAGGACCCAACTTGAATATGAAGAGCTCTAAAAAGAAACAAAGAGATTCTGCTGCGGGCAAATTAAAGAGTATAAGAACCTGCCTCGGAACAGGCGGTGTGGATGAGGGGGATTTAGTGCGATAGAGGCCAAATCCACTTTCACCCAGCCTACCTCCCGGGGTGTTACGCTGTCCGTTTGGTTGTTGGCTGTCAGGACTGTATTACAGTTGCGAATAAATTATTTTTATTTTTTTTTAATTGAAATTGGGCGTATTTCATTTTTACTTATAACATACAGTAAGTGTTGCTCAGTGTCGCTGTGTCACTACAACACCATCACCTACATGCCAGAACTCACAGAGTATGAGCTCGTGGTTATTAGATAGTTCTTCTGCACCACCCCTGCACCTCCCCAATCTGGGAGTAATCAGGGGTCTGTGATGAAGGCTTCCAAGGTCTTCTGCACATCTGAACTTTTCAACTTTGTCTTTGGAGCACACACAGTTATGGTGTTCCTTGGTGTGTCTGGTCCTAACCTGCCAAAATTTGTTATTTTGTGGCTTATTGGCTTTGCACTTGCCAATTTCTCATTAATACTATACCTGTCTATGTCTGAACCTATCCACCTGGTGAGTTCTTTTCTTCTTTTTTTTTTTGTCTATTCAGCATTAAGCAACCAGTTAACCATATACTAGCCATTGCATTGTAAGAAAGTTATTTAAATCAGGTTGCATAGATATAAAAGTTATGATTCAGGTTATATAGGCACAAAAATGTATGATTCAGGTTATCTAGGTATATTTATATAGATATATAAAAAGTCATAATTTAAGTTCTACTGATATCAGGTTATACTGATATCTTATAACTCAAGCTATGTCAGCACCTTGTAACTTTGATCTAAGTTCTGTCAGCATCAGGGCTCTTCCCAAAGGCCTGGAGCAGGGAGTGCAGAGATGGGTGAGGGATCCCAAGAGTGGGATTTTGGGGATAGGATCCATGAGGATGGGAATGTCCCGCTCCCTTGGCAGGGCAGGGTCACACCTGAGCCAGGTGTGCAGGGCAGGGCCTTGCCCTGACCCCAAGCTCTGTCCCAGCTGCAGGATCTGCTTCCCATCGGCTCTTCCTGCTGTGGCCCGAGCCCACCTTGGTGCTGAACAAAGGGGCTGGGCTGGGGTCTGTGGACAGGACCTCCAGAGCTGGGAGCAGTTCCAGCACCCCAGCAGCATTTTAAGCACTTCCATCCCTTTGCGCTCTTCCCAGAGGCCTGCAGATGTTGGAGGGGGGACTGCAGAGAGGGATGAGGGATGCCAAGAGTGGGATTTTGGGCACAGCATGAGGGGCTGTGTCAGCCATCTGCTGGGGTGTTGGTTTGGGGCCACCCTGGTGGTCCTGGGCTCCAGGCTGCAGAGCTGTCACCACCTCCTGCTTCGGGTGGTGGCTCTGGTGGGACCTCCGTTCCTTGGGGCTCTTCCTGCAGCCAGAGAACTTGAAGGGACCCTCCTCCAGCTGGCTCCTCCAGGTGTTCCATGAGCTTTGGGCTCCTACTGGAAGTGACTGGGCTCTCCTGGGATCCTACGGAGATCATACTGGGAGTGACTGGAACACAAGCCATATGAGGAACGACTGAGGGAGCTGGGGTTGTTTAGCCTGGAGAAAAGGAGACTCAGAGGTGACCTTATCACTCTCTTCAACTTCCTGAAGGGTGGCTGTGCTGAGCTGGGGTCTCTTTCTCCAGGCAACAACAGACAGAACAAGAGGACACAGCCTCAAGCTGCGCCAAGGGAGACACAGGCTAGAATTAAGGAGGAAGTTTTTCACAGAAAGAGTGGTCAAATACTGGAATCATCTGCCCAGGGAAGTGGTGGAGTCACCATCCCTGGATGTGTTTAAAAAAAGACTGGATGTGGCACTTGGTGCCATGACCTAGTTGAGGTGTTAGAACATGGGCTGGACTCCATGACCTTAAAGGTCCCTTCCAACCTAGAAATTCTGTGATTCTGTGTGATTCTGTGACTGGGCTCTGGGAAGCGCAGGATGGTAAGGAGCAGGAGGACAGCTCCCATCCCAGCCCCACAAATACCCCCTATTCCCATGGATCCCCCCAGCCCCTGGCTCCCCCAGCTCACCCCTGCTCCAACTGTACTGGACTTGCAGCATCTCCAGGTCTGTCTCTGTCTCTCTGGGTGCCTCCCAGGAACCCCAGCAAGCCCTGAGTTGGCAGACAACGGGGGGACACTCTCTGGTGCCCCGAGGGTACTGATGGCAGCTGGGCTACTCGCCTTTGCATCAGAAGAGACACCGGAGATATCGGTAGAGGATAAAAGGTGACTCTCAGCAGGGGCCAGTCCAAGGTTTATTCGGAGCTCCTCAGGAGCCCCACGCCTCAGTGATGCGCCTTGCTCAGAGTAAAACAAAAGGAATCTCAAGGTTACATTTAAAGCGGGGGAGGAAACCGAGGGTAGATATATTTTTGACCAATAAATGCCCTGCAGAGATGCAACCTCAGGGGTGGACATTTGGGATAGTGTATAAAATAATACTTGAGGGGCTGCTCCCTGGCCTCGCACTCATTCTAGATAGAGGGCATGGGATGCTGAGTGACTGACAGAGAGCCAGGGTAGGGATTTGGGGATGATCTCAACAGAGGAGAATGATTACACAGGTAGAGGGAGGTACAAAAAAGGGTACACCATTTGGGAAAATAAGGGGATACAAAACCAAAACCATTACAAAGTATTACAAAGTATAAAAGCACACTACAACAGGTGGTGGATGTGCTGGATGCACTCACCTGTCTGGCTCTGGGAATCCCAATATTCCATCTCAAATCTGGCCCTGCTCAAAGGGAGTCCCATCCAGCTGCATGCAAAGATGGGTGAGGAGGCTGAAGCACTGGCTGAAGCTCTTCCTACATTCCAAGCACTTGTAGGGCTTCTCCCTGCCATGAAGGTGCTCAGGAATCACCAGCTCTGAGCTGCATCTGGATCTCCAGCCACCATCCCAGCACAGGGTGGGTCTTTCCTCCTCACAGCTCCCTGGGCTGGGTTTGCAGCCCCTCCTCATGTGGGATCTCTGGGCCTTTTTGTCCCCACTGATCCAACTGTACTGGACTTGCAGCATCTCCAGGTCTGTCTCTGTCTCTCTGGGTGCCTCCCAGGAACCCCAGCAAGCCCTGAGTTGGCAGACAACGGGGGGACACTCTCTGGTGCCCCGAGGGTACTGATGGCAGCTGGGCTACTCGCCTTTGCATCAGAAGAGACACCGGAGATATCGGTAGAGGATAAAAGGTGACTCTCAGCAGGGGCCAGTCCAAGGTTTATTCGGAGCTCCTCAGGAGCCCCACGCCTCAGTGATGCGCCTTGCTCAGAGTAAAACAAAAGGAATCTCAAGGTTACATTTAAAGCGGGGGAGGAAACCGAGGGTAGATATATTTTTGACCAATAAATGCCCTGCAGAGATGCAACCTCAGGGGTGGACATTTGGGATAGTGTATAAAATAATACTTGAGGGGCTGCTCCCTGGCCTCGCACTCATTCTAGATAGAGGGCATGGGATGCTGAGTGACTGACAGAGAGCCAGGGTAGGGATTTGGGGATGATCTCAACAGAGGAGAATGATTACACAGGTAGAGGGAGGTACAAAAAAGGGTACACCATTTGGGAAAATAAGGGGATACAAAACCAAAACCATTACAAAGTATTACAAAGTATAAAAGCACACTACAACAGGTGGTGGATGTGCTGGATGCACTCACCTGTCTGGCTCTGGGAATCCCAATATTCCATCTCAAATCTGGCCCTGCTCAAAGGGAGTCCCATCCAGCTGCATGCAAAGATGGGTGAGGAGGCTGAAGCACTGGCTGAAGCTCTTCCTACATTCCAAGACTGGTAGGGCTTCTCCCTGCCATGAAGGTGCTCAGGAATCACCAGCTCTGAGCTGCATCTGGATCTCCAGCCACCATCCCAGCACAGGGTGGGTCTTTCCTCCTCAGGTCTCCCTGGGCTGGGTTTGCAGCCCCTCCTCATGTGGGATCTCTGGGCCTTTTTGTCCCCACTGAATTCCTGCACTGTCAAGCCTCTCAAAACGGCCTCTTCCATGAGGTTCTGCTGTGGGGATTTGTCCTCCCTGGTCTCTGACCTCAGCTCCTGGCTTGGGGGAGGAAGGACAAGGAGAGGAAGGAACAAGAAAAAGGAAGAAAAAAACCCAGAAAGACAGAAGGAGGGAAGGAGATTTATTTTTGTACCACAGGGAAAGAGAAAGATTTCTCCAATCCACCCCTGGCAGGACA